CTCTCATCACACAAAACAAACGCAAACATGAAGTTTTCCGCCGCCGCCGCCACCCTGGCCGCCCTCGTTGGCACCGCCTCGGCCGGCTCCAAGTCTAGTGACCGCACATTCGCCGTCCTCCGCTTCAACGGCAAGGAGCTCGTCCGCACCCGTGTTGATCCCATCGTCTCCCCCGGACAGCCTGCCTCGCACGTTCACGGTGTCATGGGAGGAAGCAACTTTGGCATGTCAGCTACCGGTGACACTTTGGCCCAGTCCAAGTGCTCCAATGCCATGATTGCTGGTGACAACAGTGCCTACTGGTTCCCCTGGCTTTACTTCCAGGACCCCAAGACCAAGAAGTTCGAGCCGGTTGAGATGTTCTACGTCAACGTCTACTACTTGTAAGTGCTGCGCCTGGATTTTGAGGAACTGTGCTGACAGTATCTGCAGCTTTGAGGGTACCGACGATGAGATCAAGGCCTTCCCCAAGGGTCTTCAGATCGTCAGCGGTAACACCACTACTAGAGTAGTTCCCTCTACTGGTGGCAAGCAGAATCTCGAGCCCGCCGACGGCCCCGTCCAGCCAGTACAGTGGACCTGTCCTAGATCCAACTACAACCCCGCCTCTTACCCCAAGAACTCTGATGGATCTACTGCTGGTATCGTTGACCCCAACAATGAGGGCTCCGGTGTTGGTTTCCCTGACCAGAACTGCGACGGCTACGCTTCTCCCCTTCGCGCCGACATCCACATGCCTTCCTGCTACAACCCGAACAAGGCCCTCAACGACTATGAGAACAGCATGACTTGGCCCTCCAACAAGGATGCCACGGACAAGCGCCGTGCCAACTGCCCTGCCGGCTACATCCACGTTCCCCACATGTTCTTCGAGGTCTACTGGAACACCCCCAAGTTCTCCGACCGCTGGACTCCGGGCCAAGGCACCCAGCCTTTCGTCCTGTCCAACGGTGATGTTTCTGGCTACAGCTCTCACGCCGACTTCATTGCTGCCTGGGATACCGATGTTCTGCAGCAGATTATCGACAACTGCAACGCTGGCTCCAGCGGTATGGACAAGTGCCCCGGTCTTCTCAAGGGTCTCAACACCAACAAGGACTGCACCATTCCCTCTCCCATTGATGAGAAGACCGACGGCATCTTGGACGCTCTCCCAGGAAGCAACCCTCTTGGCGGCTGGACGTTCGGCGATGTCGTTGGCGGACTCACCGGTGGCATCGTTGCTAAGCCTTCCTCTGGCGGCGCCTCTGCATCTGCCGCCGCGTCCGCCAAGCCTTCTGCCGCAGCTTCCTCTGCCACTTCTGCCAAAGCTGTTGCTTCCAGCGGCGCTGTGAAGCAGGAAGCCGTTCCGGCGGCTTCGGCCACTGCCGTTGCATCCCAGCTCCCCGTCCAGCAAGCCCCCGAGAAGGAGGTCAGCAGTGCGGCCGTCACTTCCAAGGCAGCCCAGGCGTCAATTCCTGCCGTCGCTCCCACAAACCCTCTCGGTGATGCTGTCAAGTCCAACACGGGCTCTTGCAGCCGCAGCACCAAGACTGTTTGGAAGACCGTCACGGTCACTGCCAGCGAGGACTCCCAGGCCGCCGCTACCCCCGCGAACAACAACAGCGACGGCTATAAGAAGGCCCGTCGTCATGTTCACGAGCACATGCGCCGCCGCCACAGCAACCACCACTGAGCGGCCAATCAACCCAAACGGAGTTTTTCACCTTCGCGCACCTCTCTTGTTTGCGCCTGTACCAAACTTCTTTTCATTAGACATTCTAGGGCCTGTGTTGGGAAATTCGGGAGTTTCAGATCTTATACCAAGGGGTTCTGGTTGGAAACGAACACTGGGCGGGGATTTCGGTCAGGCTTTGGAAAATGAACTTCACTCGGAGGCTTTCCGTTTGCTTTTTTGACTTTGCGTCGTTGGATTTGACGAAGATGATGAAACAGATTTACATACATACCTCACACTGAGGACACATATATTTCGATTCTTGTTCGACCTGAGAGGGCCGCATTTGGGAAGGGTTTTTGAAAGGGACACAAATGGATAGAGGTGCTGACCTCTTCGTTCTGGTAGTCAGACAGACAGTTCAACCAGAAACGATTTCCATCAATTGCTTGCGTTTGCAACGTGACCATATGGAATACCTACATCAATGGAATGTCGTGGTCACTTACGTGAGATGAGTGACCTCACCAAGTGCGTCCCGCCACGGGGGTCCAATTAAGGTTATTGGGAAGAATTCCACCTCATTTCCTTTCATGCAGCCCCAAGACCAAATTCTTCCATGTTCTGAATTAGTATCCTGATCCAGACACTTTCACCTGGTCTTCCCCCAATTAAAACGGCTCAAAGAGACAGAGTTGATGGGCACGCGCCGGGAGAGACTTGTCGCGCGTCCAATCCCCCGTCGTCTCCACCCGCCCGGGTCCCCGCAAAAATTCTCCGAACCGCAAATTCTCTTCAACGACGGCCGAGCAAGCTCCACAATCACTCACCGAGGCATTGAAATGCACCACACCGGACGGACGATTCGATAATTCTTCTCTCATTTCACTTATACCAATTGCAATTTCCATAGAAACGAGTACAGAAGGGTGGAACATGTCGCTGTACCACGAGACGGCCGAGATCCTCTCGGCCAGCCCTGACCATGGCGGCAGCCTCAAGAGTCGCGTCTTTCGCAAGAAGGGGCTCAAGTCGCCGCCTGCGCAGGTGTACGCCCTGGCGTTCGAGACGTGCAAATGGAGCGGCGTGCTGAAGGAGGTCATCGAGGCGGCGGACTTGCTTCGCCATGAGCGCAAGGTATGAAAGCCCAGCGCTCACTCATCTTGAGAACTCACTAACCCGTCACAGCTCACCCCAATCTTATCCCTACTGCTCGCCCACGACTTCCTGCTCGCCAAAGGCGGAATCGCCCTGCCTCAGTCACACGGCCTCAGACAGACCATCGAAAGGCACAAGGCGCGCCTTACCTCAGAGCTCACGCGGGCGCGCTTGCGGCGGCGGATGCCCTCCCTCGAGGCCTTGCGCGCGGACGTCAACGCCAACGCGGACCCGGAGGGCAGACACCCCCGCTGGATCCGGGTGAACCACCTCAAGAGCGACGTCGAGACGCAGCTGGAGACGACGTTCAAGGGCTTCGAGCGGGTGTTCTCCATCGCGGACGTGACGGCGTCGAGCGCCAAGGCCGTCTTCATCGACCCGCACGTCCCGAACCTGCTGGCCACCTCGCCCGGCACGGACGTCACCAAGTCGGCGGCGTACCAGAACGGCGACGTCATCCTGCAGGACAAGGCGTCGTGCTTCCCGGCGTACCTGCTAGACCCGCACCCGCAGGACGGCGACGTGATCGACTCGTGCGCCGCGCCGGGGAACAAGACGACGCATCTGGCGGCGGTGATGAAGGGCCACCAGCCGGAGCAGGGCGCGGCGAAGCAGACTATCTTCGCGTTCGAGAGGGACCCGAAGAGGGCGCAGACGCTGGAGAAGATGATTAGGATCGCGGGGAGCAGGGGGACGACGAAGATTGGGCTCGGACAGGACTTTTTGGAGGTCGATCCGCAGGCGGAGGCGTACAAGGACGCCGGGGCGCTGTTGCTGGACCCGAGCTGTTCGGGCAGCGGTATCGTGGGGCGGGACTCGATGCCTGAGTTGCATTTACCAGAGGTTTCGGGGCCGGGCGGCTCGAAGGGGAAGACGAAGGGCGCGAAGCCTGATGTCAAGAAACGAAAACGGGAGGAGAAGGATGAGGCGAAGCAGGTGATGGTCGACGACGATGGCAACGCGGTGGAGATCCAGTCCGAGCAGGAGCTGCAAAAGAGGTTGAACTCATTGGCCGGATTCCAGCTGACGTTGCTACTGCACGCCATGAGGTTTCCCTCGGCAAAGAAGATTACGTACTCGACCTGCTCGATCCACGCTGAAGAGAACGAGGGCGTGGTGATGAAGGCGCTCGAGTCCAAGGTCGCCAAGGAGCGCGGGTGGAAGGTTCTGGTGAGGGAGAAGCAGGTCCGCGGGATGAAGGAGTGGCCTGTTCGCGGACTTCCCGAGGCGTGTGGTGGGGACAAAACGGCTGCGGAGGCCTGTATACGGACGTACAAGGGCGATGGACACGGAGTGATGGGTTTCTTTGTCGCTGCGTTTGAGAGGGATGGGGACGTGGATATGGTGGAGGAGGACGGTCCGTACGTGAGAGATGACGAGGGGAAGACTATTAGGGACTTGACGGGAATGCCGGTGCTGAAGAGCACTGGTGAGCCGGTTTCGTTGGCTGAGGACGACGATGAATCGGCTCAGAAAAAGGAGGAGGAACAGAGTGAAGAAGAGAGTGAGGATGACAGCGACGGCTCCGAGGATAGTGAAGATGAGGAGGAATGGGGTGGGTTTGACTAGTATAATAATAATGGTAGCACAGCAATATGGTCGCGATACCCTCGAATCGAAGAAAGTCTCGCTTGAAGATCGCCAGACAGTTCATGGTCATGGTGCGAAAGGCGATCTCTACTCTGGCTCCTCGTCACAAGATCCTGGCAGATAGCCGCGTCCTCCACGATCATTGCCATGCGAGATTCGAGGTACTTGGTCAAATGCTCTTTGTGTTCCTGCAACAGTGAGAGGGCGAAGTGGCCTAGTGGTCAGGTCTGCAGCAGTGCTAGCGCCCTGGATACCACATTAACCCTGCTTGCTGGACCTTAGAGGTTCGACCCGAATCTTTTGCTCCTTAGCCTTGCTTTTTGTTCCTGTCCTTGTCTCTCTTTTCCTTATCCTGTGTTTTCTTTTGGTGTCTTTCCGGTATTCTTTCACGAAGACGGGGTTGACGATGACGGGGGCGATCAAATCCAGGCAACGCCTTGTGGTTATTCCATCAATGCAGGCACGTCCATATCACTTCCCTCGCCGCGTCTGATGCATCGTAGGCCTTTATATATTGGGGGTTCTGCGTCTCTTCTGACGAACTTTCCCTACAACAACACGTGTATCGACAGCGTTACCATCTACAACCACCATCATGAGTCCAAGTGATATTCAAGCGGTGCTTATGGAGAAGCCCGTCACCGGCATCCACCCTGTCGAGGATGTTCTCATGTCATTTTGTGAAGAAAAAAAGCATTCGCAAACTTCAAACTAACAGCCGATACTTCCCGACGGTCGAATAGCCGTTCCCCGCTATCATGGGACAGCCTCTCATTTATCAACGAACCGAAGAAGCAGCCACAATCATCGCTCATGTAAACATGGCCGTCAACGGAAGACGACGACGATGCTAACGACTTCTATTTCACCATGTCGTGCCTTCACCATCAAGACGAGCTTCAACAGGCACCCATTCCGGTCGAGCGACTTTGCAACTTAGCCCGCATGGCTAACAAGTACAATTTCAGTCATTCTTCTATGCTTGCCAGAGAAGCGATGTTTCGACCCCATTTAACAATGTAGCTCAACGATTCGGCGCTGTTCAGGATCACCGCGACCGCCCTCTTTCTCGGCTACAGCCCGACAAATTCGTTGGTCTGGCAGTCCATCAAGTCAGTACAATTCTGTAACGTCATGGCAACAACCACCTAGTCACCAGCTCCCATCAGCGCTGCTGTCATCATTGTTATCACCATTGGCCGGATATTCGTCAGGGTAAATAGACCACAAGCGCTAGCTGTACTTCCCAACTTGGCAAAAGCGACGTTTCATGCGATGTGACCTGAACTACGGGCCCCTGACTAAGGAGAATACCCCTGTCTGAGGGAGGACAGGGGTTGTCGAAGATGTTCCCACCGTCTCCCCAATCCCATCAACCTTCTTCTCGCAACCTGACTGTCTCTTCTCGCGGCTCACTGAAATTTCACATGAGAGGCCGCGGCATGATTTATTCTACCTTTTTAACTCTCAGCATCTGGCTGTCACTGCTAGCTTCCGGAACCTACGCAGAAGACCAAGCACCGCTTGCAGAACCCACCCCCGGCCTCAGGCTTGTCGCATGTGAGTTCATCCCAACCCGATCTTCGCATCATCACACTAAACTTAATCGCAGTTGTCAAAGTAACTTCATCCCATGCCCCAGAAGCCCCAAATCCTTTCAAGCCGTAGCATCCAACTCAAACCATCCAACAGGAATCCCACGGAACCAGGAAAGCCCTCGCTCAAGAATGGGACACCGTACGCTCCAAGACTAAGGTTCCCCTGGAATGGGTCGCCGACTGCCCCAACGATTCCAGATGCCCGAGTCCCCCTCCCGAGACGATCCCTGAGATCCAACTCTACCGCGGACCCGAGCACGTGGCCGTCTATGCCGGGCCGCAGACCGCCGATGAGTAAGGCCACTTTCTCGCATGCTTTAGACTTCCCTCACTGATCGCAGCTAGAATCCTTCGCTTCATCGACCGAGCCAAACGCTCCTTCCAGATCCCCGCGCATGTGAGCCCGGAAGAGGCAGATGGATTCAAAGACGTAGACGACTTCGTCTGCATCGCGCACCTGCAACCCTCGGAAACATCCCTCCGAGAGGCTTTCGAGGACGTGGCGAAAAAGTACTGGACGGAGTTCACGTTCGGCGTCGTCGACACACAAGCCGCAGACTCAAAGGTCGTCTGCTACAAGCGCGACGACGCGAGCACACACACTTCTTCATCGCCCGAAGGTCTAGATTCATGGCTCCTTGAGGCCTCGCGTCCTCTCATTACGGATTTATCACGCGCCACCCATGACCGCTTGCTCAAGGTGTCTAGCCCCATTCCACCCATATCCATAAACATACCGCTAATGTACCACAGCGCGGCTGGCCGATGGTCTACATCTTCCACCCCTCAGCTGCAACCCGCGCCTCCATCCGCGCGCAGCTCTCCTCCTTTGCAAAGTCCCAGTACGCCTCATTGACGAGCGTAACCGTCGACCCGGCCTACTTCCCGGACCTCCCCAGCAAACTCGGCCTCGACCCCGCAAGGGACGGGTACCCCGCCGGCGCGGTCCACCAGCTGTCCAACGGGCGAGTGTACCGCTACCCCAAGGACAGAGGGTTCACGCCGAAGGAGCTGCAGGGGTGGGGACTAGACGTGTGGCAGGGGAGGGTGAAGCCGTGGACGCCGCCGGGGCAGGAGGAGCCGAAGGAGGAGAAGGCCGGTGGCGCGAATGTGAGGATCGTGGGGTCGAGCAACCTCAAGGTCAAGAACATTCCGGGGTTGAAGATCAAGATTGGGGGCCGAGAGAGAGATGAGTTGTGAGACCTAAGCATAAGTTCACAGGGGAGAGAAAACGAGGCTTGAGTCCATGGACTTTATTACTAGGATTATACATGAAAGGTCTATCTGGTATATGATGAGTTGCATGAGGCTCTTGTAGCCGCCGTGATAATGTTCCGATAAATGATGCCAAAAATAACTCCTCGCCAATGCTAGTCATGCCGTGAAATCGACATATATACGACTCCGGGTATCATCATTTATCCCACCATCTATACATTTTTGGTAACCGTGATTATGAGGAAAGTGTGGTTGCGTCAAGGATTTTGAGCCTACGCTGTGGGGGCGGCCTTCTCGTCCTCGGCCGGGGCTTCGGACAAGACGCCGCCAGGGGCAGCGGCATTGGACTTGGCGCGCTGGCGCTGCTCCTTGGTGCGTTGGCGCTCAAGGGTGCGCTCACGCTTCATCTCCTGCTCCTCCTCCATAGCCTCATCCTCGTTGACCTCCTCATGGGTCTTGCGCATGCGCTCCAAGACGGCGGCAGCTTCCGCAGCAAACGAGCACTTGGCGCGAATGATGTGGCCGTACTTGTAGAAGAGGAAGGGGAAGGGCAAGCAGGCAAGAGAGAGGAAGGCGGGGATGGACGAGGCCCAGTGGATGCCGAGGTTCTCGTACATCTGGGTGGTGAAAAGCGGGAAGGCAGCGCCGAAGAGGGAACGCATGACGGAGTTGGCGGCCAGGACAGAGGCGGCGAAGACGACGTACGAGTCAACGAGGTAGTTGAGTAGAGACAAGAAGACCAGGACGAGACCGGCGGCGAAGAAGCCGGAAGCGATGATGGAGACAATCCAGTGGATCTCGGGGCCGTTGGTCCAGGCGAACCAGAATAGACCGATGGGAAGGAGGCAGCCGCCGACCATAGAAGGCGGGAGACGGGCCTCAGGGGGAGCGAAACCGCCGGCGGCCTTAGCAGCCTTGGCGTAGCGGCGGTTATCGAAACCGGTGTAGATAACAGCAGCGATCATGCCCACGGCAACACCGAGGAAAGCGAGGCCACCGACACCGGGAGACCAGCCACGGCCGCGCTGGAAGACGATGGGGAAGGCGGCGAAGAGCATGTACAGCGTGCCGTAGACGATAGCCATGTAGATGGCGGTAAGAAGGACGATGGGCTCCTTGAAGAGGAGGATCCAGGGGCGAGAAAGGGCGACCTTGAACTGCTGTCCGACGGTCTTGCGGGGCTGGTGAGCCTCGTACTTGGAGACGTAGTGCTTGCCAGTCATCTTCTCGAGCTTCTCGGCGCGGCGACGGAGGAGGACAGGGGCGTAGGTCTCGGGGACAGTAAGGCCGACGACGAAGAGGAGGACACCGGTGAAGATGGCCATCAGGCCCTCAATCCAGCGGAAGCCCTCGGCGGCACCAAGGAAGCCACCGACAATGGGACCTGAACGTGTTAGTTCGAGCTACAGTGGGATAAGTTCGGATGATTTAGACTTACCAACTGAAGGACCAAGGAAAGGGGCTGCAGCGAAGATGGCAGTAGCCAGGCCACGCTCCGAGGCGCTGAACATGTCGGCAATAACACCGCCAGCGTTGGTCAGGGGCGAAGAGCCAAAGGCACCGGCGAAGAAACGCAAGATAATGAGCGTCTCGATGTTCTGAGCGCCGGCAGCACCAGCGTTGAAGGCAGTGAGGCAGATGTAAGTGCCGATGAACAGGTATTGACGGCCATACAGCTCAGACAGGGGAGCCCACAGCAAGGGGCCAACAGCGAAACCAACAACAAAGAGTGAGACACCCAAGATGCCGATCTCAGTAGAGACACCGAAGGTGCGAATGACCTCAGCAATGCCGCCGGAGTAAGCAGTACTTACGAACGCAACGGCGAAAGTCGCGATGGCCTGGAGGATGGTGTACGTCCACTTCTTTGACGTGGCGAATGTTTGGGGGTTGTGAGGATCCTCGGGGAGGAAATCAACGACGAAGGGCGACTCAAGGGTGCCCTCGCCGGGGTACTTGCGGTCGACAACAGCCGGGGTGACGCCGGCCTGGTCGAAGAGGAGGTGGAAGTAGTTGGCCTTGCTGGCGGGCTTCTGAGCCTCGACATCGGCCTCTGTTGCCGTCATTGAAGACGACGAAGAGTGTGGTGTTGACACCATTATGATGGAGTCTGGGATCGGATGGGTTGGTGGTAGCGGCACTCGTGGCGGCCTCGTGGTGATCCGGTAGCGCGGGTGGTCTGATAAGCTTATATCGCGATGTTGAACGGACTGGACTGTGCTTGTATGACGATCGTCGAGGATGTCAGTCTCGTACTCTGGCGTTCCAGGTCGGGGAAGATGGGCGATAGATCTAGAGCGAGATCTGAATCCCGGAGAACTGGGACGGCGTATGTTCTATATACTGCGTACCAAACCGGGTGGCCGCAGTGGAGATTTCCAATGGTCGTTCCATGGCCTTCGCCTTCTTCACCCTTTGTCGGTGCCCGTATCACAATGGAGTGTCTCCATCGGGGCGGGATTGCAGGGGTCATGGGAAGGGGGCTCCACCGACGCAAGCCCACCCGAACGGGATGGCTTCCGCGTGCACAATTCTTCAGGTCGTCGTCCATGACTGCATGACACGGAGGGTCGGACGTGGCTGGCCGGGGACAGCAGTTGACCGAGTGGTTATCTCCGTGTCGGGCGCAGTTTGTGAGTCGATGCGACTGGTGTCGCGGGCTAGCGCAAGCCTTAGCCGCCGCCTGTCTGACATCGCGAATGCGCCGCACAGACTGCAGCAGACGGATGGTGATTGCAAAGCCGTCATCTCGTCAGCCGAGTCATCGTTTGATTCGGAGTATGGGCGTGTCGTGTCTGCGTCTCGGTGCAAGGGTTTGAAGACGGAATTCAGACTGATGCCAGGAGTCAACTGCAGGAGCAGAATGCCCCTCGTCCGGATATAGACTCTTGTCAGGATTGCGATGGCAGGTCGCAGGTCCTTCCAACTGAAGTTTGAATCACAAGACGAACGGAATTGCATAAAACTCTATTCGTAGTTGTGCAAGGCAGGTGGAGCCACTCTGGTCGGCAACTTTTTTCTTCTTCTTCTCTCCTTCCCGACTAAATCAGGTACGTACCTCTACCTGCACTGCTTTTAGTGCACCAACAAGCGGAATGACGTGTTGGCTAGCGAGCCAGGGCCCCTCCAGCAACGGCCACACCGGGCTTCGACGACCGAAAACAACGTGGGCGAAGCCTTCAAAGTCGATTTCTCATGGGTCGGCGGCCCGCTTGCAGAGCTCCACAGACCGGGATGTCGGCGGATCTGCACACCGTGCCGAGGTCGATTGATGGCTTACCCAAGGTCAGACCGTCAGACGCCTCCCAACTCCAACGGATTTGGGCTGTTTGTATTTTCCGTCGCTCATCCCCTTTTCTCAGGTGTCCATGCTAACTCCATGCCAGTCATTTCTTATTACAAACCAGGGCTTCAGGTCTACAGGATTTGAGACGACCGTTCGGACTTTGTCAAGTTCATCCCTAGCCGCGGACGCGCACGCCCTATTAATCGGATGCTGTGAGGACGCCGAGAAGGCAGGCCACGCGCATGCCTAGATATACTTGCCTGAATCATTGAGGATCCAGGCATGGCTGAAAGCCGGTCCACAAACATACGACGATAGAGGCAGCAAACCGTCGCTGATTATGCCCAGCGGTGGATGAACTGAGACCCCCGGCTTATCGCCTGTTGGAATTTGGTATATCCGGCCAGCTGCCAGATCTGGAGGATGGATGGGAAGGATCGTCATGCCGCCCGATAAGAGGCTGATGCAGGTTGAATGCAATGCCCGTCACGAACGAACCAACAACACTGGAATGCCTTTTTGGGGAGCCCGCTTCAGAGATTAGCGCACCTCGAGCTGAGCCTCCCGGCGCGTCGGCCGAGACGTCGCCAATAGCGCGCGAGCGCGCGACCCGTGGACAATCAACTGGCAGAACCATTCATTCGGCGACGAATCTGTTACTTGTTCTAGCGATTTTAGCGTCGGTGCGCTGTATTGCTTATTCGACTGATTCTGTTTTTGTCATCAAGGAAGCATTCGATCTTTTGATCCAGCCATCAACGATCCGCCCCTTTCTTTCGGAGCCGATCCATCGTCGGGACCGATTCGAGCCTCCAGTCCTTTCTTTTCCCAAAATCACCCTGCTGGCCAGTGGTTACCAAGCGACCGCGGCCCAGGAGAACCCCTGCACGACTGGCTAGACTTGGCTCCCGAGCCGTCGGCTCTTGCGAAAATCTCTGGAAATTGCCTTCGTCAAGCTTGAACTGACAAGTCTGACAGACCTGCCTGGACCGCTCCGCCATGCCAACTTCCGCACCTGGTCAGCCCATAAATTCTGGAGCTATCCAGGGTCATTTGCGCTTCCTATTCGACCGGCAACGAGCAAAACCTTTCGCAAAAAAATATGTGACCCGTCCTGAGTCCACTTTTTGCTTATCAACTTTTTTCTCTCTCACTGCATCTGTGCCTCGGCCGGACGACAGCCCAACGTAACCAGCGCCTTGGCAGACCGGACTTGCGCGAATGGTATTTACGGCGATTGCAGGCCTGCGCGGAACGGGGCCCGTCTGCAATCCTCCTCGGCATGGGTCACGCCTGTCCATCGGCGTTTGACCGAATCTAATCTGTAAAGCTCCGAAGCCACGTCTGTTTGTGCCTCGGCTGTCGCTTTGTGGCTTGCTCCCTGGCGTTCCTGGCGTCCCTAGCCCCAGGTGAAATTTAGGCTTGGCCTTCAATGTCACGTTGCCAAACCCATGTAACTGGATCCCATGGCCGATTCAAACTAGACGACGATCGATTGGAAAAAGAGCTTAACGGGAGCCATCTCGACATTTGTTCTGGAACGGATTGTCCGCGTCCAGAGCTAAGTCGTCCGTGCAACTTTTATTGTCAAGGAAAATCAAGATATCGATTCCCCCCTCTCTCTCACTGCTTACTTTTTCATCTCATATGTACTCTTTGGATGACGGTTTGGGCCGACGAGATGAGGAAGCAAGTGCATATTTCATTGGCGCCGTGGTCTATTATCCCCCTCTCTCCCGTCATCGACCTCATCAGTCGCGGCCTTTCCGCGCGTCCTCCAGACGTATCCCGCCCCGACTCCTGAAGTGCCTCATGAAGTCCGAGTTGGGCCCCGCGGCGCGGCGGCTTCGGTCCGCTAGAACGAGCCCCTCGGCGAACCGGGTCATCTCATTGAGGCTGGCCCCGAACAGCTTCATCAACTCCGGCCACGCGTCGAAATGTTCCGCCGAATCGACCTTGATCTCAACCAGGCGCAGCTGATTCCCAGTGGAAATAATCGGCAGTAGGTGCTGCAGCAAAGACGTCTTTAAGTCTTGCCTCTCCTTCTCCAATAGATCTGTAACTCATGGTCAGCATCTCGGAATATCATGAGCAAGTGCTCTTTTCAAACTCACAGCACATCCGCAGCCCGAACTCAATGTCAACCACATCTTCCGCGTCTACGAGCTGGATATACGGCACCGTATGATTCCACACCAGCATCCTCGTCACCTTCTCAAAAGCCTTGCCCTCATTCAGCAGCCCTGCCGCCAGCCCCAAGCGCCACAAGTCCCCGACGGTCAGATGCTCAATCGACGGCTCATGGTAATGCAGCATCGTCTGCGACGCGTACTTGAGCGCATCGACCAGGTCATACTTATCCGCCACGACAGCCACCTCCAGGATCGAATCCGCCGCCGCCATCTGACACACCCGCGAGTTCTGGTGGTGCAGGATGTTCAGAATCAGCTCCATGATCTCCGGGTCCTCGTCTGGCAGGTTGATCTTGACGGGCTCGGATGAGGCGCCGCCGTTGCGGTCGAGCAACCTCTGGCCCTCCTTGAAGCGGGGGCCGAGCATCGCGCCAAACACCCGCGACGCGCGCTTCAGGATGAGTGAGTCCACGCGCAGCTCCGCCGTCTCGTCGCCCAGTCCGACGACGAGGATCACGTCGCCGTCCGGCACGACAGGCACGCCGCTGTGCGCCGTGCGCGACCACATCCGCGCCGCGAAGCTGGCCGGCGAGCGCACTTCGAAGAACTTTTCCGACGCCGTCGTCGTTGTCGTTGTCGTCACCATGTTGGGCTTGTCGATTGTCATGTTTTTGCTCAGCGGGCTGTCCATTCTTCGGTAGGTCTGGTAAGGGAGGGAGGGCGGTCTCAGTGTGAGTCTGGAGGAGGCAGCACTGATGGACCGACGAGAATTCTGTTGTTGTGGGAGGCCGCTCTTATCTGATGTGAGGCTGAGATGGAGCTGCGCAATATGTGTTGTGTGTTTTGCTGTCCTTTCATTACTTGCACCATAGCCATCGCCACCGTTTAGGCTTTTCCCCCTCCCTTCAAACGCGACCTTCTCCCCTCCTCGGGTGGCAGTTCAAGAGTCAGTCAGGGTTTTCTGGGCTTGCTTGGTCCTGTCTGGTAAGCACCATGGTTTGCTCCTCCGCATCCTCCTCGCTGCCAGGGAAGACCCAGGTCTCCCGGGGTCCGATGAGACGCCGGGCGCAAGCAAGAATCTCTTGGTGGTGTTTCCCCCGACTCAGCTGCGCGGAGTGAACGTTTGGGAAGGTAGGTTGGGGATTGGAAGGATTGGGGTGAATGTCGTCAGTGCCGAGGCTTGTTTTGCGAGAGGACGCGTTCTGGGTGTTGGCCGCTGGCCGGGTTTCCCCAGCTCGTTGTGCCTGGCCCGATTGGAGTCGGGGGATGGTGAGGCTGTGGTTGAGATTTTCATCTCTTGATTCTGCACTGGTGCCGTGCGTCCGGCACACGCGCCCTGCTGGAGGCGGTGAAGCTTTGAGAGTGCATTCAGCTCGAGTCTGCCCCTTGGCTGCGTGCTCCGATCGGAGGATGAGATTGGTTTGATTTTTTCCCCAGGTTTCGAGTCGCAGTCGACAGCTGTCAATTGCCGCCGCCCTTCTTCTCGTGATCGTTCTTGGGGAGCAGCCACAGGAGGCGGTGCTCTGCGAAGAGGAGGAAGTGTGGTGGCTCGAGCTCACTCCGGATGTTTGAACCTTGCGTTCGGTCTCCAGCTCGGCTTGGTTAGGCTAGCTCGACCCAGAAGAACGTTTCAAGTCTTTTTTGTCCGTCTTGCGGGAGCTATGGGGTTTGAGGCTGAGATGACGTTGAGTTGAGCAGCATCCTTCGCGAGCAGAAAAGGGGTGAACACGCCGTCTTCTGAACAGAACTCAATTCGGTTAGAATCGCTCGGGCATTTCACCACCTTTCTTCTGTAACAACGTCACACGGTAATCAAGCACTCTGTCATCCCAATTCACTAGGGTGCTCAGACCTTCAAGCAGGCTAGCATCTTGGAAACAGTCAGGTCACTAATGCAAGACGACTGGAACAATCAGATTTTCTTGAAAGCAATTGATAAAGAAACTCATGTGCTGTATGTGCAGCTTACGCTGACCAGGATGAATGGCCACCGTACATCTCTGACTATCGTTCATTCCCTCAACCCGGTTGTGCCTGTTTCTCCAAGCTTCCCATATTGATGGGATATTGTCCAAATCTTCCGAGCCAAAGAATATTCAAGGGCGTTGCGAATCAGAACCATTCTTGTCTTAGGTCTTGCGCGCGTTTTTCAGCAACACCATTCCAGTTTTACGGACAGCTTTCATCCACGGCAACTCCGTGGATTCATCGACGTATGTCTCGTCATCCATGAGGTGAAACTGCAGGTCCGTGTCGTCGACGTATTCCCATATCGTGTGTAAGCTTCCCTTTGTCAGAGTCTCAGCCATATCCCACTTGTCACCAGGCCTATAGGCCCAATCAATCTTGGTAAGATGTCCATCAAAACGCTGGCCTGGCCCGGAGCACGCGATGAGAACTCCCTGATAGATTTCGGAGCGAATCTTGGAGCGTTCCATTTCAAGAAGACCTGTTACAAAAGCTTGTCAGCCTCATATTCGTTTTATTGAAGCTGCGCAGGTTTGTGACCTACCACACAAGCGATACGCCAGTAAATCATCGATGGCTGCCTTCTCCACCAAATGGACGAAGGCGTCGCTGTAATGCCAGACCAAGGCGTGAGTAAGTGTTGCAAAGTTGGCAGGGTCATCGAAGCAGGCTGCAGTAATGGTAAGATACCAGACATCAAGCATGCTCATATCTTCCAACTCTCTGCCGTCATTGATGGTCCGATGGATAGTGTCAGCGATGGTGTGCTTCAAGATGATGACCAAATCGTACTTGTTGGCGGCGACGCCGATCTGGAACAAGACAAGAGCGGGGAAGGAATCCGGTATTTTGTCGACGCGATGATGAAGAAGATAGAAAATGGTGCTCATGCCATCGGCGTTGTCTTCCGGGAGCTTAATCTCGGTGATTTCGCCGCGGAGGCTGTTGTTGCGGAGTTGACGGCCCTCTACGAAATTAGGACCTAGCATGGCTTTGAAAACCTTCGAAGCGAACTTGAGCATGATAGAGTGGACTCGGAACTTCCTTTTGTCGGGACCAACGATCATAATGATGTCGCCATCGGCAGCGACGTCGATGATCTTGCTAGCATCGTAGCTGGCGGTACTCGCATTATTTTGGGCCATGCTGGCATCGTCGTCGACCTCCATTTTGGTTTGGCGTGTGAGGGGTCTCGTATGGATCTTGACGCCAAAAGTTTCGTAGAAGTGGTGACGGGGTTAAATTTTGACGAGCGGCTGCAATTAAGCGGAAAAAGTGGGTGAGGGTGAAGTTGAAAGCTGTAGCCAAGGCAAGAACCAAATAGATAGCACTTTCCTTGTGAGGGGTTTGACCTGGCTGCCCTTTGAATAATGGAGTTAGAGAGGCCCAACGTTCAAGGGGACAGAGAGAAACAAACAAAGAAAATTGCCCTTTTGTATCCTCTCACTTTGACGGAAATTTGCTTGTCAACGATACTTGAGCGCCTTCCCATTCGCTCTTGTAGCCAGACCTCTATCGCTGAAGATGGTGCCGGCACGGCGGTTTTCCTATGATTTTGCAGGTCATGTTTGCAAGGCAGATTAATCACTGCAGCTGACAGATGTCGCTTGGAATACACGTTGTACTCCCATTGCTAAGGGATGAGAGCACATTCTCGATTTGATATTTGGAAAATACTGTTCTTGTATCTAGGCCACGTCTTGCCTCCTCTCACACCAGTCTCTTTCCAATTTCTCTGTGTTGTACGTCCCGTCCCAAGCTATTCAGCCCAGGGCTCTTCCAGATCCTCGTTTTAGCTCGTCGCTGGCCACATTCGATGAGTAGCCAGAGATCTCATCTCAGACAAAATTGTCCAGGTCCAAGCCTGCATACTCCTTTGTTTCGTCCATCCAATGCTTGTCGTAGAAGTTGGCTGATCTTGCACCTTTCTGGTACTCCTGACAGGCTTCAATGAGGTCTAGTTGATCACTCAGGCTGTCATAGATGAAGTCGTGGGGACTGCCGACGACGAATTCGTATCTGAATTCATTTATTCGGCATGGGTGCCAGATTGGCATGCTCTGAGCAGATTTGACATCGCTAGATTTTTCCAACGTGTTCGCTCTTCATGAAGAGCGGCTTTCAGAAGACACGGTTAGTACCTCCTCTCTAAACACAGATGCAATTTTGCTTACCGCATGCCTGTAATGCAAAGACCTCATTGAATGACCATTCCTTGGCATACACGAGATAACCCTCATCGCAGTGTAAGATCAAAGCGCGGGTTGCAGCTTTGAAGGCAGGGGCATTCGTGACAAAAGCAGCAGCCATGGCCAGTTTCCAGAGGTCCTCACAGCACATTTGCTCGAGGGTCTGTTCTCTCTCCACAACAGCAGCTAAAGCATGGTGGAAGGCATATTTGATGGCAGGAAGTAGATCGTACTTGTCTGCGGCGACCAAGATTTCGAAGAAAGGGAAGTCTTCGGGGTTGTGCAAGGCGTCGAATTGATGATGAATGACTCTGAAGATGAACTCCATGCTCTCAACGTCGTCCTGTGGGAGGTCGATCTTGATCAGCTCTCGATTGCCGCTGGTGATGAGCTGCTGACCCTCAGCGAAATTGGGACCCAGCATGGCTTTGAAGACCTTGGATGTAGTCTTCAAAAACAAAGAATAGAGCCGAAACTCGTTCTGCTCTGAACCGACGACCATGATAACATCGCCGTCAGCGGCAATCTCGACGATAGTGTTATCATCTTCATCGACCTCCATCTTGGAAGGCGTAAGTGGCGGAAGCCTGGTGCTGAAGGTGAAAATGGACGAATACATTCCGGGGCGATCGAAAAAAAACGGAGTAAATTAGGGTGAAGGGCTCAAGTAAACAGGAAGGAGCTATCTGAGCTGCTCTTGCCTCTAGTACCTTCTTCAAGCTCCTTACATGCCATACTTTCTCTTTGTCTCAAATATGCTCTCAAGGTGAATCTCTTCATCGCCTTGCTTGTCTACTTTGACATTTGTTTTTCTTACGTTCGATCGTGATCTTGAGGCCTCCATCCTGTAACGCATGTCATCGCTCATGACAGGAATACCGCGGTCGATCGTTTTTGCTAGGCAAATAAGATTAATAGATTGTCAGTATTCTGGGGATTCAGTAGACTTTGATACACTTTCCACCTTAGACCGAACCACAGGCCACACATCGCGTAAGGTAGATCTGGTCGCTGTTTAGAATGGGTTTGACTGTAGGGTAGTAGCGTTTCCGCTATAGATGGGCACAGAAGCGGTATCTCAACCATACCTTGGCCCTCAGGCATCGTAGGCCGCTCCATACCTAACGGATTCTCTGGAGGGGAAAAGGGGCGCCAACGAGTCTGCAAGGCTGCATCGCATTGGGCACCCTAATCAGGTCAGCAGGGCTGAGCGCGCCTTGAGCTGTAAAAGGCCATTCGAATTTTCTATCGACAAGGCCAAAAAGGCCGAGCCAGGGGTTTGGGACGGTTGAGAGCCGACAGTTTGTCGGCCTGTCTGGTAATGTGGACAGACCATGAGGTATGGCGTTTGAAAGGGTCTTTGCTTGTGCTCCCGGGACGAGCGGACGTTAGCCATGATCGGTGCTAAATGAAATTCGTCTGGATTACTTTGCAAGAAAACTCACTGTCCGGGTTGTGGGAAGAGCCTTCCAGGCTTCCGATACCAATCGCCCTTTAGGCTGACTTGTGCGATGCCGATATCCCCCTCCGAAGGGATGCCCCATTTGTCATACGGAAACACATCTGGATCTTCCGAGTCAGTCGGATCATGTGCTCTATTGTCGACGATTAGTCAACAATACTGGAGGGGAGGGGAAAAAGACAAGCCTGAGTACCAGGCGAATTTGACAAACGAGGTATAGATTAGCCCCTACCAGACCCTAAACCAGCCATTGCTGGACCTGTTAAAGCCAAGCGAGTGAAACAATTCTGCAAATGAATACAAGTCACACCTTGTGATCATAACTGCGTCAAATTGGGCTAAACGTAAGTATGCAGGGTTCAACGGACCGGACTAGTCACATGCGTGGAGTTGTCTGTCGACTGGGAGAGCCGGTCATGCCCCCCCCCACGAATATTTCAGCCATGGTATCACATTCGAAGACTGCGAAGCTACTGGACTGGGCACTGACCGAGGTGCTTTTACTGCTTTTTCCCCTACTGTGAAAACTCCTACTGGGTGGGCTCGAAACTTCCTCAACATCATATTCAAAGTGAAGAAAAGTCTAATGTGGTGCTACGTATTGCGGCTCATTTGATCAGCTACGATCAAGGCCACATCATTGTTTCAGGAGCCACATCTGCTATTCGGTCTAGATGTGCCAAGCAGGCTGTTCAAAATATTCAGGGGCTGGCTTTATCGGAATGAAGCCGAATTATCTTTCTATATCTTGGCCTACCACTTGTAGCATTTCCTCCTGAGTCAGAATGCAGCTACGATTCGTGTTGCTGGGGTTTAACATACCCTTCATTTGGTCAACCAGGCTCCCTTCCCATGCGGGTTTATCGAGTCTCGACTCCCAACGGGCTTTTGTCTGTGCAATGTTCGGACAGTACGATACGCGCCGAGAAGAAGGGCGGTAAAGCCAGCTTCAGATGGTCTCGAAAAACTGGTGCTATTCAATATGGTTTGTGATTGATGTTCTTCTGATTTCCAAGGACTTCGCGAGAAAGCAGCTGTAGGCCACACCCCCTTTTAACTACTCTTCTCAACATCAAGAGGGGCAACAGACCCTAAAGCCACCACTTCTTCACAAAAGACGGGAATGAGTTTTCTACAGCTCCCCAACTAAATCCTTTACACATTTTCAGACAGCGTTTCGTAGGGAGGTGAGAGTCGAAAACGTCAACGACAATGACACGGTACCGCGAAAGTAAATACACGAAGCAATCATCGGCGGCCTCTAGAGAATAAATCGATTGTGATAGCGAGGGTTTCCGGTTACAAATACCTTCCTGGGATGACTACTGCGGCCAGAACTTAGTTGAAATTAACATGCAAAATGTGAACTAGTACAGCACCAGATACGGGGACCGAATTCTCCGTCAATCGCGACATCATTACTCTATTTCGACGTTGGAGGGAGATTGGGTGCAAAATGCTGCTGCCTTGAGCAGGGGACAAATGTTGCTGCCTGTGGTGGGTTCAGCTCATGCGTTACAACAATGTGGGTGCACAGAACCAAAATATTAATAACCACTCCATGACTTACAAGGGACTAGTGTTTGAACGACTTGCTCAAATTCTGTCCAAAGGGAAAGTTCTTCTACGAATTGAATAATCTGGGTCCTGAAGCTGCTCCGTATCGCCTTTCTTTCCTTGAGCAAATTGAGGCTCTTGGCCGACGAACTCTAAGTATAGACAATGAGTGTCTGTTATGAACTAAATGATCAGGGATGTCTGAACTACCTGGAATCTTCCGGTCTTCAAAGTTTGGAAGGGGGTGATTCAGACGAAAATGGAGTTGGGGCCCTTCCGAGCTCCGGCACCAACAAAAACTGTACGTAGACATAACAGGAATTTTGTAGCTACCATTAAATGTGAAAAATGATATTCGTAAGGATGAAAAGCGAAAAGAACCAATAGATGACAACCATGAAGAAATAATTCAGAGCTAACTGCGTAGATGGTCGCTAGCTGTTTCGTACGTGGCCAACGATGTTCATTATCAAGGCCCGAAACAAAGCGAAAGACTTGGCTCGGAATCTTTTACGACAACCAAATCCTCCGGCACCTACCGAGATGCGGTAGGGCTAGTGTAGAACCCAGCTGCTTTCGACCTCGTATCAAGATGATCATGTTGGTACAAACCTCCACCGGGTGTCGATTTTAGATTCTGACTCGTGGGTAAAGGGGTCTCGCACTCAGAATTGACAGCACCGGGATCCCTTTTGCTGATGCCTGGGTTCGGATGGCATTGACCATCAGATGGTCACGACGGAGTTGGTGGGTGAAGCGAACCTGGCTGCGGCAGCTGCGCCCCAGTGCTGCTGCATGATTGGAAGTCCACCTTCCGTCCAGAGATCGTCAGTTGGCGATTTCTGATTACATACGGAGACGGAAGGCTGTCGTGAACATAGGGCAGGTGATTTTAGGGTGGTCCTTTCTGCTTAGTGGTTCAAGAGTCAGTTCCGTGGTCCTACCTGCTGTATATTAAGTCAGATCAAGCTGGCCCTCCGATAACAAGTGGTTCGACACTTCCCTTTCACGATCACAACTCTTCAAGAAATGGTTGCAATTCCCTCTTAAAATTTCTGGTTGACCACTGCCTTCTTTAAATTCCCGTTCCTTACCTTTCCTGCAAGCGCCAACTTGCAAGTTTTCTTTCCGTTGTTTGAAATTTTGTCAAGATACCCCTTTCAATTTACACTGCATCCCATTTACATTCAGCCATCAACGACTGTCTCATCCTTCTTTTATCACTAAATATACTTGAACGCCAATTCTTATTCTTCAGTCTTTACAATGGTCGCTGTTCCCCGTGGAAGCTGCTTAAAGCTTTTGGCCGCTACAATCGTTTCGCTCACAGCACTCCTCGTCCTGCATCAACTCAGCTACACAAACACGAACGACTTCAGTCTCCCAAGCCAGCCGATCGAAGTTCTAGACCAATGCCCTCCATCGACACTTTCGAGTATCGATGACAGCCAACTCGACGAAACGATTCCAAACACAATTCACCAAATATGGAAGACCACAGACGTTAGCACATATCCAGCAAGAGCTTCCCGTGAGTCTTGGAAGTCCATGTTCGAACCAAGGGGCTATCAAGTCAAAATTTGGACCGACGACGACATCCTTTCCCTCATCAAGTCGAACTACTCATGGCTGTTACCGACATACGAAACCTACGATCACAGTATCCAGCGAGCAGATCTGGCACGTCTGGTCGTGATACATGCGGAGGGAGGAATCTATGCTGATCTGGACGTCCACCCTCGATCCGTCGAAGCAACAATGTGTCTCCAACATCTTGGTCTACAAGCTGTATTCGCGCCCACTGGAGGCGCTGCAGGCTTGAGCAATCACTTCTTCATGGCGGAGAAGGGGTCTGACTTCTTAATGTGGTCTCTGCAAGAGGCCAAGCGACGCGGCGGCTCGACTTCGAAGAGAATACTTCTCCCGTACTTGAGGGTTTTCTGGTCTACGGGGCCGTTGATGTTGACTGCGGCATATCGTCAGTACATGTGGATGTATGGGACGAACCAACCTCGCGTGGCGTTGCTCAGCGAGCGCCATGTCAGGACCGTGGTCGGACATGCTGCGGGTCGATCATGGCACGGGTCAGATGGGCAAGTCTTGAACTACATTTCCGATCATCTGCACCTGGACAGCAAGTGGCTCGCAGTTCCGTGTGTGGGAGCAGTTCTGGTGTTCTTTTGGATTATGAGGCGAAACCGCGGGAATTTTCCTCAATCAATGTGCTGCAATAAAAAGTGGCACAGCGAGGTCTGACTCCTGAGTGAAGTTTGGATAAAAATAGACTGCTGGTACAATTTGAAATCTCTGAAATCTTGCCTTCTAGTGCCGCCCAAGGGCATGTTTTCGCGTCTACAAAAGGCCCTTTCTGTGTGAATTGATTGCAGAAGATATTCTTGATATGTGAGCTGAATGGAAAAGAATGTTTGACTAGATCTTTTGTGATAGGTCGATGATACTTTCTACAGGTTTCATTCCGGCAGCATAAGTTCGAGCAGGTTGGTGTATCTAGGCGCAGAGTCGACAACTCCTTTTGATTCCCTGGACGAGAAAAACGAACAGCTCGAAATGTGCAAGCAGTTGAGAAGCGCTTCCGCCCGTCCACCCTTCCAGGTGGTTCGCCACATATTCATCCCGCAAGTTGAGGCGCTATTGTTCGGCTGGCCATTACCCAACCCACGTACCACATCAGTAGACTCACCCTCCGCAATCTGGTGTTGTTTTTGCGCCGACCTTAGAGTTGCTCACGAGCTCGCGGGATAGTGTAGCTACACAAGCCACTAGGAGCAGGGGTGAAGCTACCGAATTTAAAGAAAACAAGACCGGCAAGCGTCTCGCCAGCAGTCTTCAATCCATGCCAACATGGCGAGAGCCTGGCCTTGGGATCGATCAAGCAAATCTGCTCCTCGACTGAAGCCCACAGCAACGCCCTCAGGGGACTGAACCTTGTGAAGACTCGCGGGATGTTGCGGGGGGCCATCCGATTCTCCATCTATATCGTTTCGGCGGAGAGAGCGGCGGATTCCAGGTTCGTGAATGAGTCAGGCCAGTTGTCGCGCTTGTGGGTGTAGGTATTTTCGGTCCTGCGGTAGATGCACAAGTTCCTCGCGGTTGCCGGTGTCTAGGTTTGCTCGAGAGAGGCGTTCGGGAGCCCTTGCTCAGGGGCCGGAGTAGACCATTCCTGAGCTCACTCGTAATGCCGTCGCTTTCCAGTGCTCCGCGTACGACCCTTCCACTGAGGCGGACTTGATGAATGGTCCGCCCCTTGACAAGTGATCGCGCGTCACGGCCCGAGGCTGTATCTGTATTAGCTCTGAGAAACCACAACATGCCAGGCGTTCGAGAAGCACTCACAGACCCTGATGAACATCAGAACTACCTCAAGAAAACTGTAGCTCGACCATAGCTCTCAACCACTCCGCAACAGTCCTATGCCTGAAAACCCGCCAGCAGCTTGGCCCCTCAGGATCCACCCATGCCTCCCGCATCGTCGCCGCCATCTTCCTCGCAACCTCGTCCACAAAGACAAGCTCCATGATCGACTCCAGATGGCGCACCGACCGCGCCGGAAGATTCACCTGCCTCCTCTCGACAAAGTTCAAGTCGTGCATCTGCAGGCGCGTGAGGACGTGGCCCGCCACGCGGTCCGGGAACGTCCGCTGGCTCTCGTCCCACGCGTCCTCCCCGCCGGCGGCGAGGTGCGCCGCGAGCCACGGCGTCTCTTGCAGGCTCTGCACGACTTCGGGGCGGAAGTTGGCCTGCAGGACCTGCAGGTGAGCTCGGCGGCGGGCGAGGGCGAGGGCGCGCGCCGCGTCGTCGGCGGCGCTGGGGCGGGTGAAGTGCCGGCGGACGTGTTGGCAGACGGGGCGGAGGTGAGATTTGAGAAAGTCCCAGGGCCGCGAGACCGCGCGGCGGGTTCTTGAGTTTGGTGCTTGGAGCTCCTGGGGTTGCGAAGCTGGTTCCATTCTGGCGGTTGTGTTTTGGTGGTTTGGTTATTCGTGGTGGAGGATTCGCTGGGTTATGGATTGGTGGAAGAGCCCTCCGATATTATACGCAAGAGAATGGAAAGAGAAAAAAAAAAAGGAAAGCTGTGCCATCAGAAATTTTGTATTCATCTTGGATGAAAAGATAGTGTTTAGGTTTTGGGAGATGAGAGAAGACGGCAAAGGTGGACGAGACTTGATGACTTGACCTTGACAGGCCACCAAGCCATCTATAGCCTCAGCTGTTAACAAGGAACCTGACCTTGATCTCAGTCCAGATTTTATCAAATCAGAAGAATGCAGGAAGCGGGCCAGAGAAAGCGGCCAGATTAGCATCGCGTGCTATCAGCACATATGTTTTCGTCAGAGTGATTGAAAGAATTAGACATCATTATTGTTGTTTTATCTTCGTGACTGACGGAGTCGACAGTCTATGAACACTAGGACAGCAGGGTTGATTATAGATAGACAAGACAAGAAACCCTGACACCAGAGAAGCCGAGTTCAACCTCTCAAAGCTGCGAACATCCTGTTCGTAGTTCAGCTGAGACGCCCTGGAAGTCCGTCATTGAATACCCACTGGACATGCCACGAAAGGCCTCTCTACGACGGTCATGATCGCAGCTTATCATATAAAACGAACACAGCAAGCATCACAGAGAATGAGGTTTGGTTCGATGACCCATGGAAGCCGTTGGGATCTCTGGGAGGCATGGAGGCGGAAGCGGACGGCATCGTTGTCTCGGTGGTTGAGAGAGGTCACAGCCTCGAATGACAAGATAATGAGGTCCATGCCAAAGTTGAATAGACGTGAACGCCGGATTTGACTACGGAAACCCGTGAGTATTCTACATGTAAACCGGCTTAGATATCCTGCAAGTCCGCAAGCCGGATATCTTCCTTGAGAAGGACCAATCACCAAAGGCTTTCAATACGTGCTAACCTGAAAACAAAAAGGGCCAAGCCCGAGAGAAAGCAAAGTTTCTCGTCGACAACCTCGCTCGGAGATGCGATAATCTTCAACAGCAGCTGAACAACCCAAGCACTCCGCCACACGCCACAAGAGGAAGCGATTGACGGCCACGCGCGCCCCATACGAGTTGGGGGTGGTACTGGGCGAAGCTCAGGGCAGCTCGATTTCTTCATCCCCGCTCTTCCTATCCAATTGCCACCCAATCAGCCCCAGCCCGGGGCAAAAGACATGCCGTCGGGAGAACAAGTTAATCAGCGCCTGTTGTCTGTCACCACTTGATGGATAAACTGCAAGGGCCTCGAAAACAGGCGAGGCTCATTGAGAACTGACACATCTCGCACCTTTGTGGTCAAAAGGAGGTGTGCGTCTTCTTCCCAAGTGCCGACGACGTTGTTCGCAGATGAGAACGGGCCAAGAACCGCGGTACTGGCCTCGCCGGCATCCAACCAGGGACTCTCCGCCAGCGAGCAACGTTGCAGAAATTTCAGTACCAAAGGCAGGCCTGGAAAGAATTGGTAGGCTTCAAATCGTCGCAATGTTTCGTGTGTTCCATCCTGAGACGGCCCCGAGAAGCGATTTGATAGTGGATTCTCAGTCGGAGAGCCCCTCGCAGGCCTGTTTGTAGAGTAATCATTGCGTTTAGATTAAGTTCCCTTGAAGTTTCCGACGTTCGGATATAGCTTCACATTCGAACCAAATCACCTTCATTTCTCTAGATTCGGCGAATGAGAGAGCTGACCCAGACGAGCGGCGAAACTCTGTGACGAGAGGCCGAGGCAAGAGTCTTAGTCTTCAGAGTGAATATGAGAGAGTCTTCTGGTAGATCGGAGCAAGGTCTAAACAAGGCAGGCTACCGAGTTACCTGTGAATATTGGAGCAGATTACACTCGAATATTACGACCAACCAAGTGCAACGGTCTTAGATTGCTCCACGCCGCCCACCGATGCAACACCCCTCGAGTCAATCTTCCAGAACGATTCCAAGGCAAACGAGGTATGAAGAACCCGCGCTATGCATGCCGTTGAAGCCAGCTACACTTAGCCGTTGTTTCGAATCATCGGTGCTTTCTGCCCCCATGACAGTAAAAGCAAAGTCGTGTCGGTGGTAAATGCGGGGATGTAAGCAATAATTATTACAGATGTCTCAGTGGCCGACTGGCTTGGGACTTCTGTACATGGCTCATATGCTCAAATCGCGAAGGTATGAGTTGCTGACAGAGTAAAGGGGGCGTGGTTGGGTTACGTCGCAGAACCGACCCAGATTTCGCGGCCGGTGATTAGTCGACTCGCCGGCTTAGCAGATGGTGCATGTATCGAAAGTAAAGTGGGATGGAACTACCTTGATAGGAGGCATGGCCCCAAAGACTTAACGAGAACATGATCAAACTCGGACGATGACCAATCGGCGACCTTTGGTTGACTGCTGATGCGGTTGCCTAACAAGCGGATTGAAGCCTCGCGTGCGTCGCCAACTCGGTTCGGATGTTGCCCGCAGAACCTATGAATAATCCTTTCGAAGATCCGCATCATATACGGCAGTCCGGCCGAGATTTTAGAAAACAGTGACTTTGGGCCAACAAATGTCGGGCGTGATGATTCGTCCGGCGAAAATAACATGTGTGAGATTGCTAGATTGGACTGGAACAAGTGTTATCTGGTTCCAAGCACAGGAGGCCAAGGAGGGTGCGCCAGTCTTCCAGGTTACTGGTTCCCACCAGGTCGGCTTTTTTTTCTCCCCAGAGGGTGTAGTTGCGTATTATGCGTGATGTGGCTTCAGCAACAGGCCCCCTTTAGGCCGCAGATGCACTGTGACAGGAGCAAAGTGGTATCACAGCCCGTCATCTTGGACGCTAGGAGAAAAGCTGCAGGTCGAGGCTTCCGCGGCCGAGCGCCTCCACATGGTGTTCGCGGACTCGGCCTATCGAGGTCAGGGACGATAGTTTGGTTCATTGGATCAAACTGATGCGGGGTCGTGTCGTGTCGCGAGCAGACTCATCATTCTCAGCTGCCGAGTTCTTTGGCTCGTCTGCTTGTCCATCTACGTCTTCCATGTTAGTGGCGTTGGACCACGATTTGGAGCGGAGAAGGCTCATCTGCAATGTCGGATGTCATAATGCCGTCGGCTCCGGTATGGAAAATGCAGATTGC